AGATGCAAAGTCAGAACCAGGAGTGGCCCGTCGCTGTGACACACACCTGAAAATATGGAAGTGGCCTTGGAACTGGAGAAAGGTCGCGGCTGGGACAGTGCATGCGGGGGACCACTTCTGTGATGGTGAGCGCAGCACCGAGGGCCGTTCCTGAGGCTCAGGAGGGGAGAGCCACAGGCAAGTCTGGTTCTCCGAGACTACTTAAGTGGCATGACCAGGACACCGGTGGACCCCTGGACATGAAGGCCATGCTCGTGAGTCTCAGACGGTGCAGGGTGGCAAGGCCATCCTCACCATAAAGCGCCAAGGAACCCGCCGCCTGTGTCCTCGCCCGAGCGCCCTGTGGAAGGTGGGGCCGTGACCAAGGGCCTGGAGGAAGGAGCCCCCGGGCAGCGAGGCCGGGGCTGCGGTGGCAGGCGGTGAGACTCGAGGGCGAACAACCCACGGTGCAGTTCATAACTGAAGAAGTGGAAACCCTGCACCTGGCCAGCAGAGCATGAAATGTCCCCACAGGACAGCAAATGCAGGACGCGGCCAAGCCACCCTTTGTAGATGCCAGTGTGGATGGCTGGCAGGACCAGGGGCCATTCTCAGAGACAGTGGGACAAAGAAGACCTGAGGCATTTCAAGACCTTGGAGGCAACTAGGAGCTAGGAGCCAGAGGGACAGCTGAGCGCGGTGTCTGCAGCCCACAGTCCAGTGGAGCCCTCGCCTGGGTATGGCTGGGTGGCTCCAGTGGCCACAGCTATGGGCCCTGGCCCTGTCCACATGGGGCTGACCCTGCAGAGCAGAGGACGACGCTGCTGGGTGTGGGACGTACAGGACTGGCCACCCTCTTGGAATGGCGTGTCTGTCCCGTGCCTGACCGGGCACTGTGCTGAATGCACATCACCTGTGTGACCTACAGGATCACAGCGGGGACCTGCCCCACCAGGACTCTGGACTTGAGACTTCTGAGTTGGGACTGGAGTGCATGGATATTTCTGGGGATGCTGGGACAGAATGAATGTAYTCTGTATGTGAGGACATGGGGTGTGGGGGTGTGGGGGAGGAATGCTGTGGTTTAGATGTCCCCTCCCAAGCCACTATCAAGTATGAAGAGGTAGCTGCCTATCCATTATAATTACCTAGTYTATGATATTCTGCTACAGTATCAATGGCTTCCTCACTTAGGAAAGGCCTGAACTGACCATGAACTCCAAGCTCTGGCCACGTTTGGCCCTTGCTCACCTTGCTCTCCTTAACCTGCAGCCATGATGGCTTTTTTATTGTTCTCCAATGGGAAACACTCATTTCTACCTCATGGCCTTTGCACATGCTGCTCCTTTGGCCTAGAATGCTCCTCTGCTCTTTACACGTCTAGAGAGGCCTTCCCAGAGCACCTGACTGAAGCTCCTCTCCCCACCCCTATTGCCTTATCTTGCTTTATTTTCTCAGGGCATGATCTGACAGGTGGGTTCACTTGTTCAGCTGTGTTCTAGACAGAGTGCAAATTCCATGAGGGCAGCACCGTCTAAGCCCAGTAAAGGTACAGGGTATGGCTGCCCAAGGTCTTGGGGTCCCAACTCCTACCTCAGTGTGTCCAGGAGGCAGGACATGGAGTCGAGCAAGATGATATAGTTTGGATATGAGGTGTCCCCCAGAAATTCCTGCTAACACTGCCGGAACAGTCAGAGGTGCAATGATTATATTCTGAGAGCTAGAACCTAATTGGCCCATCCTGGCTTGAATGGATTATTAGGTGGTAACCACAGGCAGGTGGGCTGTGGCTGGAGGAGGTGGGTCACTGTGGGGGGACACCCTGGAGAGGTGCATCTGTCCTGCAGCCCCTTCTCTCTCTGTTTCCAGCTGCCAGGAGCAAGCAGCTCTCCTCCCCTGGGCCCTCCCCCATGATGTGCTGCCTCCCCTTGGGCACAGACCAACGACTGGACCATCTGTGGACTGAGACCTCCAGAACTGTGAGCCCCAAATAAACTTCTCTTCTCTAAGTTGTTCTCGTCAGGTATTTTGGTCGGGATGACGCCAAAGCTAACTCAAACAGAAGATCACCCTTGAACCTTGAGATTTAATATTTTTCCACATATTGACCATTGGGACTCCACCTGTCACTGCCGGATCCCCAGCATCCGACACACTGTGACAACCCAAATGAGTTGATTGTGCCCCCAGAATTGCTATGCTGAAGTCCCAGCTCCCAGACCCCCAAATGCAACCTAACTTGGGCACAGGGTCCTTGAAGCTGTGATGTTAAGATGAGGTCACACTGGAGTGGGGTGGGTCCCTCACCCTATGACTGGTGACCTTGTGGAAAGGGCAAACGTGGACCCAGAAACCCCCGCACAGGAATGTGGAGACGGGGTTTGGCTGCCACAGCCAAGGAACCCACCAGGAGCTCAGGGAGGCTCCTGGCACATACGCCTCCCTAGTGTCCTCAGAGGGAGTGTGGCCCTGCACACACTGGATCTGGGACTTCCAGCCTCCGGAACTGAGAGAGGAATCGCCATGGTTCTGCACACCCAGTGTGTGGCGCTGTGTTACAGCAGCTCAGCAAACTAAGGCACACAGTGAACCGGGCCAGCGGGTGGTGGACTGGCCACTGCCACCTGCGTCCACTCACTGCAGAGACCATCCACATCAACCACCTCTTACTTGTCAAAAATGCTGTGGTCCCGCTGCAATAGGGAGGCTCCACGGCACAGCAGGAGGCCCTCCACAGCCGGCCTCGCCCCACAGGTTTYCCACTCCCTCCTGGCCTTGCTGCAGTCCCTTGGCCTACAGAGGCTGCGCAGTCCCTCAGCCCCTGCCTGGACCGGACGCTTCCTAAACACTCCTACGCATCCTCCAATGCCCCACTCAAAAGACCTTCTCGGTGAAGCTTTTCCCAACTCTCCCAGGGTGCACTGACCTCTCGCTGTGCCCGCAAAGCCCCCTCTCAGGCCATGTCACTGGCTCAGGACTGCCTGGGTCCAGCCCACSTGGCCTACGGGCAGCGAGCTCCGAGAGGACCAGCTCTTGTCTCTCTCACTCCTGCCTAGCACCCGCCCAGAGATGGCGCACAGAGGGACCTTTGGGCTCACTGTTCCCATCCAACATCCCCTCACTTATCAGGAACAAAATGCACCCTGAGGGAGCACGAGACCCCTCGCTATTTTCAGACCCTGCCAGTGGCAGCCCCCGTCCTGCCAAGAGGCTTCATGGCTTCTACCCAGGACCTTGCCTCAGGCTTCGCCCAGTGACTTTGACCTGGAAAGCAAAAAGCAAAGAAGCAGCTCTCTTTTCTAAGGACACTCTCTTTTAACCGCCACCCCCACCAGGCTCAAACATTGTAAACCCACCACCTAGCTCAGGGCCCAGCATGGTGCCTGGCACAGAGCAGGTGCTCAATAAAATGACAGGAGAACAAAAGAGAGCAAACCTGCACAGCCTCCAGTACTGTTCCTAAACCTGCCACCACCGCGACTCTCAGGCAGGCACCCTCAAGGCACCCTCACCACCAAGGGTAAGGGTCAGGCCTACATGCTCAGGTCCCCAGCTGCCCTCTAATTTCTGGTCCCCTGAGCCTGGAGCAGATGGAAGAGGAGTCTGCACAGCAAAAAGGTCAGAACTTGAGGCCCAGCCCCTATTGCCCTTGTGTACTCTGCTACCCTGTGGTGGCCAGAGGGCATGCCAGCCTCCAGCTGCCAGGTGGCCCCGCCATCGCCTCAGCTCCTGCCACTCCCTGGTGGGTAATGCCAAAACACCTGAGCCACCTTCCAGGACCAGCAGGGAAACTCTTGGGCACCAGGAAGAAGCAGGAAATTGGTGCTTCCAGATGCCCCAGCCACGCCCAGCATGAGGCCTGCTAGTCTGGGAGAGCGGGGCTCAGGTGCCCTGGCTGCCCACACACCCTCAGAGCACGCCTGGCCATGAGCAGGTTTTGGCTCCCGCCCTAGCCCCGCAGCTTCCTGCAGTGGTGACCCGCTTTCCACCCATCATGGGAAGGAGGAGGCTGAGCACAAAGGACCCGGCACCCTGTGCACACCTGTTTCCAGGACTCAATTCTGCAGAAAGGCTGCAGCTGAGTCCAGGGCTGCCCAGGCTTCCCTTCCAGTGCCCAGTGCAGGGATATGCAAAGCTCGCTGGCCCAAGCCTCTGGCTTCCCAAGGGGTGGAGGTGAGCTCCCGACCCAGCCCCCAGCCTCTGCGTAGAGCTAAGGTGCTCTGGGTGGCCAAAATGCCCAGTCCCATGGCCACCTGGAAGTTATGCTGATGGGTTACACCAAAAGCCTGGGACCAGGAGCCCAGAAGCTTTTCCCAGTGGGAAAGCAGCCCCTCCTGCCTGGCCTGTGTCCCCACATGCTCAAGCCCGGGTCTGGCCTCTCCTGGGGCTCTTTCTGTGCAGACAGGACTCTGCTCAGGGGTTCTTCTAGTCGGCTTTCCCCTAACTCATGCCTCCCAACTTGAGGCAGCCTCTCCTAATTACAAAGACCTGTTGACATCTGAGCGAAAGTCCAACCACCCACAGGTACAAGCACCTGGACCTGGCCACGCGTGTCAGCCCTAAGTCCATTCCGGGGGCAGAGGCAGAGGGGCAGGAGAGGAGTGGGTTTTGATGGCCGAGCCCTTGGTGGGTGGGGCTGTGAGCCTAGGGCGGGAGGGCTACTTAACAAAGAGGGGACAACCATAGCCCTGGAGCCCCCCCCCATCCCCACTCCACACACCACCCCCTGCTCCTGTCGGGGCGCCTACCTMGCGACTTCATGGGCCACCTGGGGCCGATGTGCCAGCCCGGGGACCTCGGGCCGAGCTGGGGCCCTTCTGCTGGGCATCCCTAGGGTACAGCGGGGCGCGTACCGGGGCCCCAGAACCCGTTCCGAWTTAGTATTCCCGGGGGTGGGAACGCCGCGGGGACAACGCTGGAGAATGACCCTCGCGCCGACCCCAGTCTCGCGAGTGCACATGCGCCCTGGAGGCGAGGACCCCGCCCCCGCACCCTTTCCCTTTTCCCCCCTGAACACTGACCATAGTGACCGGCGCCGTCGGGCCACGTCCCGCCCCAGCGAGGAGCGATCCGGTGCGGGAGGGTGCCGCGGGAGGCGTTGGTCGGCTCCACCGTTGGGTCGGGCGGCGGGGGCCTCGAGGGCGTGGGGGGCGTGCGGAGAATACACCCGACCGCTCCGCAAAGCAAAGGTTAGACCGCCACTGTGTCCCAGCAAGACACACGCCCTGCGATTGACGTCGGAAGTGAGCAATCAGAAGCCGGGACATAAGGCGTCACAGAAAGTGGGTGGGACTTCACGCGCCTTCAGCCTATGTTTCAGGGCCCATTTGACAGGATGCCTCCCCTTTTTAAAGATACAGAAAGATTTTTAACTAGCCTCAGAGTTGGCCCAACCCAGAGAAGACTAGGTCCTCATTTGTCAAGCCTGAAGGGCTTTTAACTAAAATAGCAAACTGCAGTCTCCTGAAATATTAGCTGGCCCTCATTAATTCTTAAATAAGGTCACATAAGTATAGTTTGCTCAAGATCAGACTAGACAAGCACTTAAGAAACATGTGTCCAATAACATCAAGACACCTGTCACCCCTGTGTAGCCACTAATATTTTACCCCCTTCCGGCTCATGAGTCAGTAGGTTGCCATGCACCCAATTGATGTTTGTTGAATGGCTGAATTTTCAGCATGATTGACGCTGTGGCTCTGGAATTGTAGGGGTGTGTAGGAGGAACAGACGATGAACCAGGTGTGGGTGACTCACATTGGCAAGCTCATTATTATTGGGCCTCAAACGAGGAGCATTTGTCATTCGAAGATTCATTCACTTGACCCCTGGAGGAGCTACTGTGCTTTTGGTGGGAGTGGGGGTACTCCGACATGCATACCCCAGGGCACACACCCATTTTAGGAGTACAAGTGCCAACTTGGTTCTACTTTGCCATGGTGTGAAAGCGATCACATTCGGTAGAAATGATCCTTGGAGTTTTGAATTTTGATCTTTTCTGGGCTTGGAATATTCATCTGATACTGCTTTAGGATGCTGGGCAGCTCCTGGTCCACCATGATCAGAAGGAAAAATAACGGAGGCTCTGCCGAGTGCCGGGTGGCTAAATGGGGTGTGTGTGGATGGCGGGTGTGTTGAACACACATCTGGCTTATCATCATCTTGTTTTCAGGTGTAACCCCATTATAAGGTGGGGGCATCAGTACTAGTACTTCCAGGAGAGTATGCTCCCCACCCTTACCCTGTGCCCCAGGCCCCAGGCTGGGCTTCTGGGCAGACCTGCACCTGTCTTCAATGGGGTATCATACAGTGGGTAGGGACCATGGGGTCAATAGAAGCTGAAGGAGCAGCAGCAATAGCAGCTGTTTGCAGGTGGCCAGTGACACAGAGCACTCCATGTTGGACAGTGTCCCAAACTCTGAAGACATATTATCTTACTTGATTTTCTTAGTTCATGGGGGTAGATCCTGTTTTTACTATCCCTATTTTACAGATGAAGACACTGAAGCACAGAGAGATTAAGTTATTTGCCCAAATCTACACCGCATGCAAGTGATTTTCATTTAGTCCCAGGTGTCCGACTGCAGAGCTGGTTCTGAATTCGCTCTACCGGAGCCATATGCGTGGTTGTAGCCATATGCATGTTGTGCATGCCTCCATGCACTTATTTGCTTTTTGGAAAGTTTCTGGCTTTGTGTTTTGCTTTGAGATGGGTCTCACTACATTGTCCAGGCTGGCCTTGAACTCCTGGGCTCAAGCCTTCCTCCTGTGAAGGCCCACGTAGCTGGGACCACAGGCTGTTTTTTTCTTTTTTTTTTTTTTACAGCCAAGGAAGTGACAGGAGCAGCCCAGAGCTGTAGAGCTGCTGGGTAGGTAAGGCTGGACCCCTGGACTTCTGACTCCTCCTTCTTGCTCAATTCGGGAGTGTGAGGCCTCCCTCCTCCCTCCTTGGAGTGGCTTCATGGGGTGTGCTTTGGGGTATGGGTGAGACCATGAGTCACCTCAATTTGCCCACTGAGGCTTCCAGAAGCCCTTGAACGAGCTGCATGAATACCTGAGCCCCAGGCTCACTCCCCCCCCCCCCCCCCCGCCCCTGAGCCCCGCAGCCCCAGGCTCCTCATGGTGTGTGGAGGGAGCATGGACCKGAGTCCACAAGGAACACTGGGACCCTGGCTCTGGGTTCTGCCCTTCATGCTGTGTGTCCTCAGGCAACTCCCAGGTCCTCTCTGGGCTTCTTGTTTCTCGTTCAATGAGCAGGTTGGACAATCTGGGTGGTTATAAAAAGTCTAATAGTAGTGAGGACTTCAAGCAAAATGCCCTGAATCCCAAGGTACATGAAATGGAATCTTTCTTCTGTTGAAGCTCAAATGAACAAAGATTATCGTCATCTCTCCCRACTAACTACTCAGGATCCTTCCTGAGCTTGGTGAAGGGCCGATTAGAAGGGAGAAAGGTTGGCCAAGCCTCCAGTCTCTCTTCAGGGTGGCTCAGAGTTGGAATATGAGCAGGCTCTGGGGCTGCCCTGGGAGGGTCCATGGGTCCTGCCTGGGTGAACCATGAACCGACTCCCCTCTCCCAGCACCCCTGCTGCCCAGCGTCCAGGTGCCCAGTGGGGGACAGAGGCAGTGGCTTCACCAGAACAGGGGAGAGCGAGGCCTGGGGTGTCTCGTCCTCCAGCAGAGGACCTGGCAGGGCTGGGCCCCCCTGGGGCTGGGCTCTGCTGTCCCCGTGCCTGTGACTCATGGTCTGGCCTCCTAGGCTGGCCATATGCAGGCATCTCCCAGGTCGGACCCCTCACTCCCCACGTGGCCCCAGCGCACGTTCCTGTTCTCCTCCTGACTTCCCCACTTCTCAGGGAGCTTCGGAGGATGCCGTCCAGTGCCTAGAGCCTTCCCCGTGCCTTCCCACCTCTCAGCACCTGGCCCTCCCCAACACCCCTCTCATGGGCTCTGCTTCTCAAATCCCACCTTCCTTCACAGTCTGCCTCCTCCTCCGGGAAGCTTTCCCGGACTAGCCAGTGGCCATGAATCCCCCACTCCACCCCGTGGAGATTCTTGTCCTCTGAGTGCTGACTCCTTGACACTGTGATTTGGAGGGGACAGCAGACATGGTGATGATGAGGGTGGGCAGTGGTACCAAACGTGTGCCAAGTTGCCTTGGCATCACTGCTTGGATGAGTCACACCTCTGAGCCTTGTTTCCGCGTCTGTGAAGTGGGGTGCCCTGACCCTGACCCTGTACTTGGTATCCAGTCAGTGCCCAATAAATGTGGCTTTGCTTGGTAGAGACCTGGGGCCTGACTCTTGCTCACCCCTGTGACTAAGCCTGAGGGGACAGGGAACGCTGAGGCCTGAGAGCTGCCCTGTGACATTAGAAGGTGTAGATGCACAAGTGACAGGAGGGCGCTCCTGGAGGCTGTGTCTGCGCCTGAAACGGGGGTCACCCGCCCTCCCCCAGGTAATGAGGCGGAGCTGCTGCAGGGGAGGCTCAGGCAGCCGGCCACCGCGCTGGGGGAGCCAGGGCAGCGCAGGCCCCTCCTGGGCTCTTCACCTGGTGCCATTTCGTGCACTTACTTCTTGCTCTGCCCCCGCAGCTGCAGGCTCCTCGTGCTCTGCCTGGGAACCAGGAACCCCCGAGGCAAAGCACTTCGCCCCTGTGAAGTACAGGCCCTGCGTGGTTTGGAGTCTCCATGGCCACAGGTCAGCCTGACACCCCCTAGCCATGAGCCTAGGGTCTCATGTTGGGTTCCCCTGCTGAGATCAGAAAGAAGAGCTGGAGTGGCCGTCCTGGCCTCCCCCGGCCCCAGCCCCAGGGAGCAGGACCATGGGGCCCTGGGCTCAGTGGGTGTCCTAGCTCCCACCCCCAGGGGCAAGTCAGGAAAAGATCTTCCCAAGAAGAACAATGGGATCAGAGAATGGGGAGGTTGAGCTAGCTGAAAGGGAGAACTTTCTGGAATACGGCAGGGTAGAAGGAGTGTGTCAGAAGAGAGGCGTCTCCTGGGGCGGAACAGGAGACCCCCAGCCACATGTCACCCACTGCATCATCAGAGGAAAGGCGTGAGCTGCCTGTACTGTTGGGCCCTGGCCTGGCAGAGACCCTCGTCCCGCCCTTGAGGACACCGGGTGGCTCAACAAGGAGTGTGGCCATCGGACCCAGGACAGGTCACGCCATGCCTTTTTCTGCACTGAAGGAGCTGCCGAGACCGCACAATCGCCATGAGGGGGAGGAGGGAGAGGGAGTCCCCGAGGGAGGGAGACTGGCTTCTTYCCAGGGAGATGGCCCTGCAGGCCGAGTCCACCAAAGGAGCGAGGCTTCCTGCGCCCCGAGAGCGGGCGGCACAACAGCTGCTCTGGCCTTTCAGAAGTGAGGCAAGCATCCTGGAGGACTGCCCGGCTGTGGGCCTGGGGGCCTGGCTCTGAGTTCAGAGAGCAAGGGCAGCGTGCTGAGTGGCCTCCTGGGCGAGGTGACAGATGCCCCTGGCTTCCACAGTGGGAGGAGCCTTGGCGTGGTCTCTAGAAAGCTGAGGTCAGTGGCAGGTTTCCGGGGTCCTGTCTTGGCTCCCCTGTGGCACGGACACCAAGTCCTGTTGCCTTTTGTCCCCAGGGACCCTCCCCGCTCTCCTGAGCCCTTGAGTAACACTCCCTTGAGGATGGAATGGACCAAGCCACTCACCTCTAATCAACCGCGCACAGCTGCCACCAGAGCAGGGTGCACCCTGTCTCCGCGGTCGGCCTGCCCCGCTGTCCTGCCCGGCTGACCGTGCTGTTCCTCAAGAGCAGACCGCCAGGAGGTTCTCCTGCAGGAACCAGCTGAAACCAGCCGGGTGCAAGATGGCTGCCCAGGGCCTCTAACAGACCAGAGCCTCCTTATCATCTAATCTCCATGCCCAATAACACCCAGCAGGGCCAGGACCACTGACAGTCACCAGGGTAGCGGCCAGGAAGGACCAGACAGGGAAAGACACCAGGTGGTGCCTGGGCGCCTAAACTGCACCCCCTTCCTGAAAACCTGGTGCCACCCCTCCTGCGAAGCTCTGCCTCCCCTGGGGGTGGGGAGGTTGGTCCCCAGTCAGGCTCCTGCTGCCCCCTTCTTTGGCCACGGAATAAAACTTTGCTGTTGATGCTGGACTTCAGACCTGTTCTTGGCTTCACAAAACCTGCGGGGAAAGGACCCTCCTGTGAGGC